GTAGAATTATTAATTGGCTTAATTGCAGTATTGTTGTGTCTGAGGGAATGGGGGGCCTGAGGAGAGGGAGGGAGATGGAACGGCCGCCTGGTGGAGCAGTCAGAACACACAACATTTATCAGTTAAGTTCGCCATCCCACATGGGCGTGGTTTGTGGTGCGCCCAAGCAATTATATGAGTAACAGCAAAGGTCACTGGTCACAGATCATCATAACAAATATAATAATAATGAAGAAGTTTGAAATATTGAGAGAATTACCAAAATATGACACAGGAACACGAAGTGAGCAAATGCTGTTGCAGAAATGGTGCCGACAGACTTGCCTGATGCAGGGTTGCCACAAACCTTCAATTTCCAAGAAACACAGTATCTGTGAAGCACAATAAAGTGAAGTGCAATGAAACGAAGTGTGTCTATGGATCATGTGAATAAGGATGAGTCTCCCTCCTAACTTTTGTGGAGCGGCATATCTGTTACTCAATGTGAACCTTCTGTCCTGTAGCAACGTATAGGTTTCTGTGCCTGTTCAATAAACCCTCCGTGTGAGCAGAAGCCTAGGCCTTTGTGTTCCAGTACAGGAAGGTGTTCCGTCTCTCTTGCCGGGGAAGGGTGGTCTCCAGAGAGCAGGAGCTTCAAGACCTATGTCCTGAGTGTCCCTTGTCTGGCCTTGGGGAGAAGACAGCCCACAAGCTTCTGCTTTTGCACTCCATGGCCGCTAGTGCTCCCTGCAAGGAGGTGAGCCCCGCCAGGCAGAGGGCTCTATGTCCCACCAGGCCAGGCCTCCAGCGTGAGGTGTACCTTCCCACAGCAGGATCCAGCGCCTCCTGGCTCAGCCTGCCATGTTGGGGGTGACGCACGGGTGGCCTCCTCCTCAGAGGTAACATTGCCCCCTTTGATAGACTAGTTATGGCAGCACACTCCATGTCACCTAGTTGTCACAGCCTCTCTGGTGTGATTTGAAATCCAGCTCCTCAGGGTCGGGGGAGCGAGCTGGGCAAGAGCAGGAGCCCAGTCGACTGCGGCAACCAGGAAGGACACGCCCAGAACGTAGAGTCTTCTGTCAACACTGCCCAGAAGGCCATCAGCTACAATTCCTGTCTTCCTTGTGGTTAACGGCCTTTTAGCCGCTGACACCGCGTGTCACACTCGGCCCATCCAGGCAGAGGCGCCTGCCCAGGGCTTGAAAGCCAGTTGGCAAGTACAGAGTGATGGATTTTGTCAGCGAATTTATGCCAGAATGAGGCAATAGCGTTCCCCCGCAAATTAGTGTGTCTTAGCAGATGCTTAATTTTTGAATATCTTGTTTTGAATATATATTACCTGATAAGGTATATACGCTCAAAGTATTTTTTTATTTCCACTCGTTAAATCTCAATCTAACCAGTAAACGTCCCAAACTGCAGAGGCGCAGAAGTCCTGTTTCCCTTTTCATCAAGCAGCAGCAGTCCATTGTGGCGTAAAATAAATGCACTGCTAGTATGATTTAAAAATAACAAAAGGAAAGGCAAAGTTGCCATGTCCCCAAGTGTGGAGCGCTCCCAGCCGGGGCCACAGGAGGCAGCCCCGGGTTTGAATTCTAGCTCCGCCCACTTACTGGGTGCCCCAAACTAGCCCCTTCATCTCTCTGGCCTCCATGTCCCCCTCTGCGGATGGGGGACGGGCATCACGCTGCTTCATAAGGTTGTACAGAGTGTTAAATGAGCCAGTAATTGTAGAATGTGTATAGCTGTGCCTGGCATCATTTATTTTCTCTTATTATTATATTCTAAATGACGTAAAGAAAGAGGGAAGCAAGGAAAATACCTCTTTGGACAGCCTGGATGTCAGGAGCAGTGCCAACACCTGTTTCCAGGCTTCTTCCCTCTAATGTGACTCCTGGGAAAGCACAGCCTCAGCTTCCCCCAGTGCAGGCGCAGATACGCATCCTCATCTCCCTGGTGTGGCAGACCCCACGACCAAGTACAAGTTCTCCCTGAAGTGCCCACTGCCGACAAGGAACAGGAGAAACGAGCAGCCTTGCTGTCCCCCAGGCCTCGGGCAGCTGACAGCACAGGGCCTGATGGCAGCTCCTGAGCAGACAGAGAGTGCAAACCCAGTGTGGGTCCCGGGGCCTCTGTCAACAGGCAACACGCTCGTTTTCTTCTGACTCTTCCTTCTTCAGCAGCCCCTCTCTTGGCTGCCTCTTAGATCGTCCATCTCCTTATTCTTTATCACCTCATCTCCTTTTCTCCTCTCACTCTGTTGCCTTGTCTGAAACGTTGTAGATGCTTTTCTTTTCTTGTTACCATTTCTGACCTTTTCCTCTGGTTGGCCGACTTTTCACCCACTTGTTTTGTCTTTTCTGGCTTTTCCAGTGGCCTTCCCTAGGAAGCTCACTCCCAGAGCTGTTACCCCTTGAGGGGCTTGTCACACGCGGTCTGGCTTTTGTGCTCACAGTGGGTGGGTGGAACAGAAAGAAAGCATAGAATGTGGGGCTGAGCGGGGACCTCAGAGTCCTCATTGGGCCATGAAGGGCGCGAGGTCCCGTGTAGTCAATTCACTCTCCACTTGACTAAGCTGGGAGGATAACCCCATCCCCCACTCCAGCCCAGGGGCTCCCTCCGCCCACTGTGGAGATGGACTGGCTAACCTTTGAGTGTCTGCCGTGTGCCAGTCATGGGGTAAGGTGCCACGTGCAGGAAAGCCTGCAGCCTGAACCTTGTCCTGGTGACAGTAACGATGGCTGACGCTGAGTGGGTGCTGTGTGCTCTCTGTCTGTACTGGCTACTGAATCCTCACAAGCCGTTGTACATGTTCTTATGACATACCGTTATTATCCTTGCTTTATAGATGAGGAAACTGAGGCATAGAAAGCCTCAGTCACATGCCAAGGTAACGCAGATACAAGGCGACAACAGAGCCAACGAGGCCAGATGGTATGAGCTTAGCCCCAGTAGCCAATGGTATGATTACTCCTCTTGGTTTTACACATTAGGAAACTGAAGTTCAGAGAGGCTGAGTCAGTCATCCAAGGTCACCGAGCTGAGTAGAAGTGTCAGCTCTCTACCCAGGTGTGTCTGAATGTCGTGCCCATGCTGTTGACTACTAGACTTCTGATTCAAGTTGGCTGTAGCTGAGGGCTTCCTAGAACATTCTGCTCAGCCGGACAGACTCACCTGTACCCCCCATAGACCCAGGCAAGCAGAGATCCTGTCCCAGACCCACGCTTCATCTTCCCTCACCTTCTTCTTGCCCTTTGGAGGGAATTTCTTTAAAATTTCTGTCTCTAATAATACGGTCTTGTACATTTGAAATTTTCTAAGATTGTAGATCTTAAATATTCTCACCACACCAAAAAAAAAAAAATGATAACTATGTGAAGGGATGGATATGTTAATTAGCCTGATTGTGGTAATCATTTTACAATGTCTATGTGTATCAAACATCATGTTGAACATCATAAATATGTACAATTTTTATTTGTCATTTATACCTCAGTAAAGCAGGGAAAAATTAAATTAGTAGTTGACGTTAGAAGCTAAAACAAAAAACTTTCTGTCTCTCTCTCGTGCCTGGGACTGGCCAGGGCAGAGGGGGCCATCTGGGCAGGGCTCCTTGAGCTTGTACTCAGTCCTGCATGAGTCCCAGTAGCAAAAACTATCTGTTCAGAAATTTTCCAAGTCTCTTCCGGTGGTTGCAGCCAGCAGAGGCCAGCAGTTCCCCATGGGAGAGGCAGGCACACCCAGGACAGGCTCCGGCAGGGCTCCAGTCACCTTCCTGGAAGTTGTCTGAGTCTCTGTCTGGTGCTTGCGACCTGCAGGGGCAATAGAGCTGTCCAGGCAAAATACCCAAGACCCCGGGGGCCCATCTCTGTTTCTCCCTTTCAGGGCATTCTGACCCTCTGTCCTATGTAGGGATTTGCTAGAGGCCCCCAGGAGCTCTAGAACTGGAGCCTATGGGGTTGCCCCAATGGCCTGTGGCCAGACCCCAGTGCCGGGAGTGTGGGCTGGGGAGCAGATGGCTGCTGCTGGCGTGTACTTTGTTTTTTGTGAAGTGCATGTATGGGCTGCCAGAACAGTGCTCACACTGATTCTGAGTGACTCTCACTCACGTGAGATGCAGAAAGAGTTCAGCCTCTAGGATAGCAACTGTCCACCACCCATCCTGGGGCCTGAACTTTGTCTCCCCTGCTGCAGTGCCACCTCTGGACTCCAGCAGCCGATGGGGACAGGGGCAGCACCAGGCGTCCTTCACCATGTCAACCACTCCAACACAGGAGCCTCTGGGGTGGCCACACCCTCTCCCCAACACTTTGGAGGTCCTCACACTGCAACCAGTGGGCCTTCTGATGCACCCTCTCCTGCCCCAGTCCATGTGGTGACGGTGTGCACTCCTGCTTGGTCTCGAGCTGCGTGTGTCAGATGAGGGACAAGCAGTTCTTGCAGGAGGGGGCGCCTCTACTCACTCTGCCTGGGCCCCTGGCTAACGTCCCTGCTCCAGTTCTTGTGGACTAAATGAATGTTTGTGTCCCCTTGCGATTCATATGTTGAAATCCTAACCCCCAAGGTGATGTTAGGACGTGGAGCTTTGGGGAGGTGATGAGATCACGAGGGTGGAGCCCTCAGAAATGGGAGTAGTGCCCTTATAAAAGAGAGCCCAGAGAGCTCTCTCACCCTCTTTCTGCCTAGTGAGGATACGATGAGAAACCGGCCGTCTGCAACCCAGAGGGCTTCCGCCAGAACGGACGGTGCTGCACCCTAACCTCGGACTTGCAGCCTCTAGGACAGTGAGAAATAAATGTCTGTTGTTTCTCAGCCACCCGGTCTGTGGCACTTTGTGACAGCAGCCTGAAGGGACTAAAATGGCAGTTACGATTGAAGGAGATCCCGTTCTAAAGATTCAGCGTTTGCGTCTAAGAAGGTCGTGAGAAGACACCGTGGGAAGCCAGTGCTCACTGTGCGTGAGCCAGCTCGGCGGCTGTAACGGAACATCGCAGACTGGGGCGCTCGCGCGCAAGAAGCTTGTTATCTCGCGGCTGTTGAGACTAGACGTGCAGAATCGGGGTGCTGGCAGGATCGGTTCCTCCTGCGGTCTTCGAGGGAAGGGTCTGTTCCAGACTTCTCTCCTTGGCTTGTCCAGGGCTGTCTTCTTGTTCGCGTAGCACTCTCTCTGAACGTGAGTCCGCCTCCAGATTCACCCGTGTAATGAGGACACCAGTCATGCGGGGTTAGGGCCACCCTGGCAGCCTCACTTTAGCTTGGTAAACGCCGTATCTCCGAACAGAGGGACATTCTGAGGTACTGGGGGATAGGACTTCAATACATGAATTTGTGGGGACACGATTCAGCCCTGAGCACGTGGGCAGCCTCCCGAGTGACGATGCAGCAGCGTCACAGCCATCCGTCATCCCCAGGGGCCACCGAGGCAGAAGGGTCTCCATTGTGTCAGCCCACATGTGGCGGAGCCCTGGCATTGCGAGGAGTGACCACATGGCTGCTGCTTCTCACACAGGAGCTGTGACATTAGCCAGAATGGTGACCTGACAAGAAAGAGCAGGAAGAGATGGTGCCTGGACGCCACGAAGAACCTTCACACACCGACTGGACAACAGACAGGAGGAAGCGGCCTCTTCCCACTGTTGTTCTGAATCTTCAGCAGTCAGTCACTAAACCTCACGTGGGCTCGTGAATTTTTTAATACATTTTAAATCAAATTATTTATATAGACAGGGACCCCACAAAAAATAGACCCCACGCCGTCGTATGCTCACACCCTTGCCCTCCGCTGCTTCGAGGATCCTTTGATATATTACACAGGAGCTGATTCTGCATCTTGCAGCTCAGAGGCTCCCCTGCAGCCTCACAGCCTAGGGCATACCTCTCAACTCTGAGCCTCCTGCCCAAACTTCCCAGAGCTTCCCCTTTTTCTCCCCATGTGGGGATGGGGCTGCTGTTGCTGGAGGATCTGCTCAGCGTGCAGTGCCTTTGCACGTGCTCCCTCCTGGGGTCCTCACAACAACCTGGGCTTTGAGATGACAGCAGTGAGGCTCAGAGAGTGGAGTAATCTCCTCGAGGCAGTGCAGCTGTCACATGACAGAGGCAGGAGCTAGCACAGGTGTCACTGAGCCTGGTGCAGTGTCTGACCTCAGAAGGGGTTCTCAACAAAGATTTGGTGAGGGCACAGGGTAAGCTAGGTTTTGTGGGACCTGAAGCTTATACAATTTGGGGGTCCACTTGAAGAGAAAGAATGAAACTTATAGACAGAAAAAGACAGAGCTTTCAAAGGGGCCAGTGCAAGCAAGGGACTCTGAGGTTTCAACTCCAGTGGTTTCACAGTAAATCTGCACTGAGCTGATAAATAACTGAGTAGGAGAATGAATAAATGAAGTATGCACATGTATAATTTCAGAGCTAATACGACATAAAATATTATCTCGTCCCAGCCCCTTTGTTCATAGTTGTAGAAACTGAGGCGTGCAGAATAACTTTCCCAAAAATGCACAGCTGGTCGGTCTCATTGAGGCTGTGTTAGGCGTTCCCTGCGTCCTCATAGGGAGGGCCGATGGTGTTGAACCCAGGTCTACAGTCTTTACTCTGCCACTGACTCTGTCCTTTCCTAGGGACAACTGGTCCTCATCTGGCAACACGTGACTAACCTCTCCAAAGTAGGACGCCAAGTTGCACAGCATCAAGGGGCCATTCACAGTGAAGTCTTGGAGGGGCCTCCCTGGAGTTCTGGGTCCTTAGCCTGGGCAGCCCCAGCCAGCAGCCCTGCCCCCATCGCTGGTCTTGACCTCCTCCTGGGCGCTGGCTCCCGGGAGGGGAGAGGAGGGAAGTGCTTCTACCTCTGCCACACCTCAGTCTTCTTCACTGCTGGGGATTCAACTGACTTCAATTCAGTGAACCAATTAATTTAATCAACTTTAACTCAGTTAATAAATTCAGTTATCAATTGATTGCCTCTCAGTTCCAAATGCAAAATTCTTTGGCTGCTCTGAAAAAATGGAGCTGGGCCCTGCAAGTATTTCTCCCCTGCTGGCTGGCACAGTGTTACCCTTTGTCGGAGGAGGCCGCTGGAGGGACACTGGATAAGGAGGGTGTTTTCTCTCTCTGGTCCTGGCGTGCATCTCTCACCAGGCTCCTACAGCCTGCAGCTTCCCCAGGACGGGCTTCTGGCAGGCCAGTGGCCAGCAGGAGCAGCTGTCCCCAACACGCCAGAGGACAGCTTTGCAGCGAGTTCTGACATGCGGCCCCTCTTTGGGGACAGGATCCCCATCTTCTCAGAGGGCAGATGACCATAAAGCTCTGTTGGGGCAGCACCAGGTCTCTTCTCTGCCCACCCATGAGCCACAACCGTGCCCTCCACCTCCAGTGAGGTCTGGATCTCAGCCCTGGGGTGTGGGCACCTCTGCCTTGGGTGTTCTGTCTCAGCCCTTAGGTGTGGCTGCTGCTTGTGTCTGTGACCCCTGTGTTGTTTAGAGCTCCCTTTGTTTCTTAGTAGCCAGTTTCCTGTTACTATTATATGTCCCCTATAATAGTTAATGATTCTTTACATTAAACTTTCAAATTACAGTATAGTTTCTGTCTCCTGCCTGGATCCTGACTGACTGTTTTAACGGGAGTTGCTTAGTTCTGAAGCACAGAGCCCTTTGTGCCTGACCTTCCAAAGTCAGCTCTGTCGGCTCTGGAGAGTGGTGGGCTTAACTAGCCCAGCTCATGGGCTTGGATGAAACCCCGCCTGGGTGCTGTGCCTCTCCAGACTGCTGTGACAGCAGCAGCACTTCAGGGCTACCAGGACTAAAGCCTGCACACGAACCACCAGCAGCTATCACACAGCTTGAACGCACCACACATATGTGACATGTGTTTATATCACCCAATTAGGAAAACGGATACGTTGAAAACACGTTTACAAACAGGCTGTGTGCAACTAGGAAGAGACCTCAGAGATCAGCAGTTAGCCCCTCCAGGACTGTGGTCAGAATTTTCCCCTAGGCCCCAAAGATATATACCTATTTGCTCACAAAAGAGATCTTATGACTGAGTGGGATGGCAAGAAGGAGGAGTGGTGCTGTGAGAAAGGGCCTACCCTGTGGTCACCCCAAGAGACAGACACGGCGACCAATTAAGTAGGATGAAGATGGCAGGGGCTGTAACGCTTTGCCCAGATGCAGAAATCACAAGTTTTTAAAGGTCAAAGAAGTCTTAGACTTTTTAATTTCACCCCTCCCTCTCATTTTAGATGAGGAAACTGAGGCCTAAGAATCTGAGGCAGCTTGAGTGAAGTCCAACCCCGGTCCCATGGAGCACACCAGGTGGGGCCAGGTGTCACTCAGAGTGGCTGAAGAGACCAAGGGATCATCCTTGACACCTATGACCTTGAACAATCATCAAACTTAGGTACAGCCCCACCCCACATCCTGGAAGGCATAGTACCATTGACCCAAGTATAAAACCAATAAAAATGAAAAATAATTGTAAAAAAATTTCAAATAAAATGATTGCAGTTCTGCTGGGCCCTCCACAACAGATATGGAGCCCCCAGGACTCAGAGAGGCCTTGGGGTTTGAGTAACTGCACCCGCGTGAGCCGTCCCCGTTCCCCTCCCTGAACATTCCCCATCAAGGCCCTGCACACACAGACACTCGGGACATTTTTCTGACTGACTGGCAAAGTATCATCAAATTCCTTGTCTTGGGAGGAGGGGCTGGTAAAGGTGGACTCAGTGTGAGTCTGTAGGCTGAAGGTCCCAGCTTTGTGGTCTCCCATAGGTCCCCGTGTCCTCATGGTTGTCATAACTGTCATCACCACCGTTAACTTTTCACAAGCTTTTACCCCGAATCAAGCACTCTCCTGACTTCTTGACAGATCTGAGAGAGACCAACAGGGTTGATGGCTGGGTCACCCCACCCCTAGCCCACACTCTCCCGATGACCTGTGTGTTAGTGTTTTCCTATTGCTGCTGTGATAAATTACCACAAACATCGTGGCTTATAAGAGCACCCATTTATTATCCAGTTTCTGTGGGTCAGAAGCGCAGGCACAGCGCGGCTCAGCTGGCTTTCTGCTTAGAGTCTCACGAGGCCAAATTCAAGGCGTCAGCCAGCAAGGCCACGTCCCTTTCTGGAGGCATAGGGGAGAATATGTTTCCAGGGTCATCTTGTATATTGGTGGAACTCAGTTCCATGTGGCGGTAGGACTGTTTCCTTGCTGGCATGGCCAGGGGTTGTTTCCAGATTCCAGAGGCCACCCCATCCCCATTCCTGCCCTCTTCAAAACCAGCAACAGCAAATGAGTCTCTCTCAAGCTTTGAATCTCTTTGATCCCCCACCCGCCTCATCTCCCCTGCTGTCCTCTTTCACTGAATCTCTTTGAGTCCACCTGACTCCAACCAGAGAAATTTTTCTGCTTTTAAGGGCCCAAGTGATCAGATTGGACCCATCTGAAAAGTCCAGGATAACCTTCCTATTTTAAAGTCAGCTGTTGAGCCATGTAATTGCATCTGCAAAGCCCTCTTGGCGTGGTGCCTAACTAGTGTTTGGATGGATCATCGTGGATGGGAATCTTCAGAACTCTGCCGACCTCACCTGGGAATAAGGGCTCCCTCTCCCCTCAGAGGAGAGGAGAGCTGTCTGAGGTCTCAACTTGCCACAAGCACAAGGTCTCTGGGAGACGTCAGCAGTGGCAGCAGTCTCCTTAGGCAGCTGACCTCTCTTCCAGCAAGGGCACCCTCACTGCCATAAAGTCCTCTCTCCTCCAGCTTGGTCTGGGGTTCTCAGCCCCCAAGAGCCCCTATAAAAAGAGAGTGCAACAGGAAGGCACCTGGCGCTCAGGCCACTGGTGTCCACTGTACCTGGTCACGTGACGTTTTGGCCAAGCGTGGAGAAACGTGCTTTCCGTGGGGAGAGGAGGGGCTGCCTTTATTTGCCTTTTGGTGTTTGCTGGAACTGTCGCTTCAATCTATTAGCTTCTTTAATCCTCATCACCACTCGGAGTCAGATGCAAGTATTAGCCCCATTTGCAGACAAACAAACTAAAGTTGTCTCAGTTTCTCAAGTTCCCCAGCAAACTGAGATTCGAGCCCTGGCAATAGGGTCCAGAGCCAACATGCCTTCTAGATGTTGTACTGGAACATTCCTCAAATGCCCAGCCAACCGGGCAAGTGGGAAAATATCGCTACTTAAACCAGCTCTCTAAAAATGGGGAAGGCAGTGCTTTGGGTTTCCCAAGTTTGTTTTTCAAAGTGATGGCCTTAGCAAAAGAGCATTCCCACCCAGGCTCCTCAGGCTGCACTCAGGGGTGTGAGGCCACCGGGAGAAGCCTCTCCTTTTCAGGGCCTCCTGAGTTCCCTCCAGGGTGGGCTGGTGGGGAGCAGTGGAAGGGCAAGGGGGGAGTTGGGAAAAGCCCAGATTCTGAACTTAGAAGTATCTGTTACTTTTATAAGAGATTAATCCAAACAAGTGCACTGAGCTTTGCACCATTTCTTGGTAAACAGATGTGAACAACTCCCCTTTTTTCAACCTCTCTTGTGCAGGAAGTTTAGAGAGAATGAGAAGAATGTAAAGATGATGAGTGATATCTCATGAGACAGAAGGAGAGAAACTTTAGAGGAAGTGACAAGTGGAATGCATGGGCACTGACCATCGCTACTGATATTAGAAATTTGTGCTTGCTCCCGAATAATCTATCAGTGTTGTCAAGTGGCTCCACAGGACAACTGCAATAGATTAGCTTTTTCATCTATCTGAAACAGCCCACATTTGTTAGCCCTGACCTCAGACTACATCTTGGAATTGGGTCAACTAAGGGTGGAACTGACCACAGAAGAGCAATAGATAAACCTTCATTTTAAGCTCTCAAGCTGCAATGGCGATGAAACCGAGTGGGCAGATCTGGCTGGGGAAAGAGGTGGCAGGTGGGAACTTCTTCCTGGGGAGGTGACAAAAGCTGTGCCCACCTGTCCTACACCATCCTCTCTGCTCAGCCCCTTAGGTGTCAGCTAGAAGGTCAACATCCAGGGGCTCACTCCAGGACAAGAGCAGAACCTCCTCGGTGTCTCCATCTGCACAGAAAGGAGACTAATCGTGGCTCACTGTCTGGGATCCCTGGTTCTCGTCATTCAATGTTTAGTATTTTAACATTATGTAGGAAAATCAAGCATTTAGGAGAAGTAAGCGAGAACAATGCTCAGTGTACACCGAGCCTATGTGGCAGCTCTGCTTAGCAAATGGGGATCAGAGTCTTTGACCTGTACTTCAGTAGATTTTGTATAGTTCTGGAGTCATTTCCTAAAAAAGAAAAAAAAAATTTTTTTGACATAATTTTGGACTTCCAGGAAAATTGCAGGAGTAGAACAAAAATTCCCATATATCCTTAACCAAGACTCCCAAAATGTTAACATTTTACCACATTTACCTTATCATCTTATGGCTGAATCTCTACCATTCTCTCTCTTTCTCTCTCTCTCGTTCTTCACACAGGGGCAAGCAACCTGCTCTGTGGAGACCAGCCCTACGAGGGGCTTATAAACAGCGGGAATTTATTCTTCCCGGTTCTGGAGGGCGCCCGCATGGTCGGGTGAGAGCTCCTTGTAACCTCACAGGACAGAGAGGAAGGGAGCTGTCTCTGGCCTTGTTACGAGGGACTGTTCTGATTCATGAGGGCTCAGCCCTATGACCCTATCATCTCCCAAAGTGACCGCCTCCTAAGGCCATCACATTCAGGATTAAGTTTCAACACAGGAATTTTGGAGGGACACGTTCAGACGGTAGCTATACTTTTTAACTTTGACAATCTGATAGATAAGAAACAGTATATTTTATTTATTTATTTATTTATTTGGTGAGGAAGACTGTCGCTGAGCTAACGTCTGTTCCAATCTTCCTCCACTTTGTATGGGGGATGCTACCACAGCATGCCTTGATGAGCAGTGTATAGGTCGCACCTGGGCTCTGAATCCGTGAACCCTGGGCGGCCAAAGCAGAGTACGTGCGCTTAACCACTATGCCACCAGGCTGGTCCCTATTTTAATTACTTTTAATTTGTCCTCCTCTTATTAAGAGTGATGAACTCTTTTTCATATGTTTCATATGTTCATATGTTTTATATATTCTTGTGATTATTGATATCTTTACCCATTTTTTCTATTATATATACATATATAATAGAATATTAGTTCTTTATCTCTTAGATTTGTTGCAAATATTTTCTCCCAGATCTTCATTTTTCTTTTGATATGCAGAAATTCTTTGTATTTTTAGGTAGTTGAACTTATCAATCTTTATTTCATTTAGGTTTTGGGCCATAGATAGCTTTTCCCTATGCCCAGTTTATAGGTTATAGTAGAATTCATTCACGTTTTCCTTTGGTTATTGTGTGGCTTCAGTTTTACATTTGGACCTCTGACCCAGTCTCTTCCTTTGTGTGGTGTGAGGTATGGACCTATTTTTCATCTTTTTCCAAATGGTTAACCAGTTGTCCCAGAATCATTTATTAAAAAGTCCATCTTTGCCCCAGGGATTTAA